GGTTAAAAAGGCCATAGGGAAAAGGAAGGGAGTGGGCACCTGACCGAAAGAGCCAATGGGAAGGCTAGAGCTTTTTAAAATTGAGAAAAAAAACTTCCCCTTTGTCTATCTGTGTTGTTCTCCCAGAGAGCAGGGATAGGGCTGGAACTATGCTGTAAAAAGCTTTGGGCCAGGTATGAAAAATCATCATATCATACCTAGAAACTACTCATTTGAAACCCCAGATATGTAAGTAGATCAGGAAATGTCTAGGAAGACGCAATTAGGTTTATCTCTTTTATTTCTTTATGGCTTGTGGACTCCTCTATGCTAACCCCAAATGCTTTTGTTTTGCTTGTAACCTTTAAGTTGGACCTCAAGAAAACCATTCTTGATGCTTAATTATTGTATTTGCTCTTTTTAAATCTACCAATAGCCTAAGTTTTCAGATGTATTTTTCTTTCTGTTTGTTTTTAATAAAATTTACCTTTTTTAAAAACAGAATTGGATTTTTGTATCCTAAGAGGTTTGTGCACGTTGTTTAATTAGCTGGTGGCAACAGCCAATTTCCTTTGTTTTCTTTCTCAGCTCTTCCCCGGAGGGGGGGTGAAAGGGCTTGAGGGTACCCCACAAGAAGGAATTCCCAAGTGCACCTTCCTGGGTTCTCAAAGGGTTTTTTTGCACTTGGGTGGTGGCAGCATCTACCCATCCAAGGTCAGAAAAAAGGTCTAACCTTGGGAGTTTAATATAAGCCTGGAGTGGCTAGTATTAATTTTTAGAATCCTTGAGGGCCCCCACCTTCTGCACTCGAAGTGTCAGAGTGGGGAATCAGCCTTGACAGCTTGTATAAAGAAAAAGTCCTGGTTACAGAGCTTGTAATCTTTAAAGGAACTGTCCTACCTCTTTTCTTTTTCATTGTCATAAAAGGTATTTTGACTTTTGTTACTTTTTTCAACGTCTTAAGCCTTGTCTACACTAGAGCTGCTTTATAGCTATACTGGCAGAGCCCCCAACTGTAGATAGAGCATATATCAACAGAAGGAGTATTTCTGTCAGCATAGTAACACCATCTCCTCAAATGATGCTGGCAGAAGGATTCTTCTCTCAGTATAGCTGTCACTACTATACGGGGGTTTTACAGGCATAGCTCTGTCAGCTCCGAGGCAGGGGCGGGGGTGGAGGGAAGAGGGGTTCACATCCCTGACCGACATAGCTATACTGACAAAACTTTATAATAGATCTGGCCAATATCTTTCTACAGTCAAAATTCTGGGGGGTCCAGAAACCTAGTTCCTATGGAAGATATCTAGAGGCTAGGGACCCGTGCAGAGACTTGCTGAGTGCCCTCAATTATTGTGTGCGTGTTTTAAGAAATATGTGACTAATATATTTCTCCTTTTGAAATACGTGGAAAAGAAAGGACCACTGTGTGAGGATTCTGCTGTTTGTGAACAGTATATACTTTATCTTGCTTTTGATAACCGGGTGATGTTTCCTGGAGCCAGTCTTCTGCAATTAACTTTAGCCTATGTTTAATCAAATTCCAAACAAGGTGGATAGGTTTGTCTCTAAGCACCTTCAGCTCAACATGCCTAAAAGCAAGCATGACTGAGTTATTTGGCAATTCACCATTACTATTTAAGTCTCCTTGATTTTATGGTTGGATTAACTTGTATCTCCCACGACTCTGTTCCACAGCTATGATTCTTGTATTAGTGCAGAGTTATATAGGGCAGCGGTGTCATCTTATTCAGTAATTCTATCAGGATAACCAGTGAGATGGTGGATTTTTATTTTGAAAATGTCATATTGGAGCTTTTTATTTAAAAAAAAATGTTTGCTACGTTGGTATGTAGCAGGGAAAACGTGATGCAGCAGCAGTTGGATGGATATTACTTACACTTATGTGTCTTTTTCAAAAAGAAAACCAATGCAGTGTAGGTGTAACAAAAGGCTGCTGCTTCAGGTTAAATTATGCAAGTGGACCCAGGTAGAAACCCTTGAATACATGCACTCCAGGCCGGACCATAGAAAATCAGAACTCCACCAAAGGTGGAGTGAGAGTAAGGAGAATGAATTCCTTCTTGAAAACCTAACTTAGATAGGGAGAAGCTTCTAATGTTATGATGGTGGGCCCAATCCTGCAAGCCTTACTCACATGAACAGTCCCACTGAAGGATTACTCAGATGGGTAACAGCTAAAGCATCAGGCTGGGTCTAACGAATAATACATTTGCTGTTTTAGTGTAGTTTGCAATGCATGTCCTATTAAATTAAACTGGAACATTGCTGACTAAAAGACTATGATGCAAAAATCTACGAGTAATACATACTTAAGACCAAAAATATTCTAAATTAAATGCAGTAAGTCAATATGATGAAGTATATTGGCTGCATCTTAAAAAGAAACCAGTTTTTGATTTATATAGCTAGGCTGTACAAGCATCGGAATGAACAGAAGATTGAACACTGTCAGAACAGAAATCAAATACCAATATAGCTGTGTGAAATTTGGATCTGTATTTTTAGGTACACACACCCACACACATATGCAGCCTCACTGGCTTATTCCTCTCCTCTAATACAGTCAGGGATGCCTCTAGCAGAAACATGAGACCAGGCACAATTCTAACCCAATTTACTTACACCACCCCGACTTAACTAGATACTGTATCATGCAACAGTTTGATTTTCCCCCCCGTGACTCTAGCCTTCCTCTGTAGTCTCATAATTTTTCCTTAGGAACATAGGAATTGCTCTACTGGATTAAACCTGAGGTCCGTCTAGTTACCATCTTGTCTTTGAGAGCGGCCAGCTACGTGACTTAGAGGAAGGGGTAAGAACCCGGCCGTAGGCAGATATGGAATAATCTGTCTCTACTAGTTAAGAGATTGGTTTAAGCCGTGAGCATGAGGTTTAATATCCTCTCTAAAATTTTAATTATAATTCGATTAATTATTGTTTTTTTTTTTAAATACTCCATACATCAGTCCACTGTACAGGTACATCTTTCCTTACTCAGGAGGTAGATGATGTACAGGGTTCTTATCATTGTACCACCTCAGTATCCATCGCGTCGGTAATCTGGCTATCAAACCCATGTGCAACATCTGCCTCCAAATTTAAGACTGGACAATTTTACTGCTAGCTCACTACACAATCTCTCGTTTCAGATTCTCACCACATCCATCTGAGCCAATAGGTTATGTTAGCCCCAGAGGGGTCATGTGCCTATCTTCCCTTCTGACCTTCCCTGTCCTATCTTCTGTAAGCCCCCCAGGGCCTTGTTCTCTTCTGTAGCAACCTGACTCATTTCAGATACCCCACTCAAGTCTTGGAGTTTTTTTAGGCATCTCTCCATTCTGAAATTCCTATTTGTTGCCTACAATGGTGGAAAATTCTCATTACAGAAACCTCTGCGAAAATGCTTATGTAGAACTTGCCTGATTTTGGGCCAGGAAGCAACCAACCTGATGTGGGGACCAAGAAGGTACCTGGGCTTCCTCCCAACATGATTTCAGAACTAAAGTGCTCAGTCCCAGTGTGGAGAACCCTTTCTGGATGGCAATGCAGGGCAGGATTCTCCTATTTCCCTGAGAGGCACCAGAGAGGCAGGCCTGGTCTATACTACCCGCCTGAATCGGCGGGTAGAAATCGACCTCTCGGGGATCGATTTATCGCGTCCCGTCGGGACGCGACAATCGATCCCTGAATCGGCGCTCTAACGCCACCAGCGGAGGTGGTAGTAAGCGCCGCCGACAAAAAGCGGCAGAAGTCGATTTTGCCGCCGTCCTCACAACGGGGTAAGTCGGCTGTAATACGTCGAATTCAGCTACGCTATTCACGTAGCTGAATTTGCGTATCTTAAATCGACTCCCCGCTGTAGTGTAGATGTACCCTCAGTTCTATCAACATATGGAGGAACAAATAAGGCTTTAGTAGGCTGCATGCTATTTATTCTCACTTGTAAATGGAATAGTATATACAGCACATAGGGGCTTTGCTATGCTGTAGCATTAGGTTCCAGACAGCTGACCTAGGAATAGGACCTCCCACTTTTCCAATAAGATGTATCCCCTTTTCTCCATGCCCTCCTTTCCCACTTAATAGACCTACCTTTCTAGTCACTATGCAGTGATTGATATTGTCACAAAAAATTAATGTCACCATGTCCTTGAATACCCCAGAGCTTCCCAACCACTACTCATTCCTGAAAAGTGACTGTCCAGTGATAACAGATTTTGAGAAAGCTAGTTTAAATTATTCCCTAAACAGACCAAAATGCACACCACAATGAACTTTAATTTAAACCATTAAAAAAAAACCCCACACAGTTAGCTTTCCGGAATTTATTTCTTTTTTTAATACAGAGAAAATGCAACAAAAAAATCCTATAACACCACACGCAAACAATATCATAACCAATTATTTTAATGTCATCAACATTCATTTGCTATGTACATACTCTTCCCTCTGCAAAAGTGCATTCTAGAAACCTTTACTGACAAGTTGTTGTTGTTTTTTAAATGGTTTTATTGGTGACATCACAATGTATTTGTCCATGGTTACCTGACACAGTAAAGTGAGCAGTATAAAACTAAAGAAACTGGGTTAAATGTCTCCCTCTGGTCAGAATACATTTACTGAAATTTACTTATTCTTCCAATTAAACCATCTTAGAAATTCATTTTTATAGACTAATTACTACTAGACAAATAAATGCAAATTCTGTATTTTTAGCTCAATAGGGTACAAAGTACTTGATTTTTTAAAATGGCTTTGTAGCAGCAGATAGAACAAGAATTTCACCCAGTTCATGTTGGAAGATATCATACATTTTAGTATGTAAAATTATCTGGTTTTGTTAATCACATGTACCAAAATCTGGTTTTAGAAGTCCTATTGATGGAAAAAATAATTTGCATATATGCAATGTAAAATCTATCTGAATGCAAGCATCTCCTTTGGAAAGTTCATTCGGAGATTGTAGATATAAAGAGTACATGTCCTCACTATGCACAGGAGTAACATGCGTATAGAGTGAGCAGAATCAACACCCAAAATTCAATGGACTGTATTATGGCTTAAGAATGCATGTTTCACATGCATCACTTTAAGCAGACCACAGTGGAGGAAAAGGGGGACAGGGAGGACGACTTGAGCCAGACACTCGAAGCAACCATCTTTTTAAACTAGACAAATTGTTTCCTAGTTGAAACATTTAAAAGCTCAAGACATTTTCCACCCCTCACCAAGATGCAAAGCAAATCCATTTAAGTTTCCAGTTTAATTCTTAATGTGTATTTTAAAAGTTAGCATTGGATCCCAACCCTGTAATTGGATCCTTGCACATGTGCAGAGCCCAGTTGAAGTTTGCATGGGAAAAAAGGGTCTCCGGACAGATTAGATTGCAAGACTGAGGTCTTGGTTGGTATGTTAAGCAAATACACCTTTAGGTAACGTAACTTGAGATCCAGTTCTCACTATCATCAAGAAGCACAAAAAGCATTTTCTTCAAATTAGGGACAATTTACTTTGCAGGGGAGGGTAAGAGGGATATTTTTATAGTTCAGTTGGCTTTCAATAAGGATACTGTACTTCTTACCCATGTGATGCTAACACCCACCTGAAAGTTGTATTTTTATAAGAAAATAGGCATTGTTTCAAGCAGTAACATCGATGCATTCAATAGCAAAATAAAAAGTTTCTCAATACTTAAATTGTTTTATTTTCTTGGACAGTGTTGCACCTACAGTCCTCTAAACACTTTCTTTCGAGACAACCTTAAACATGCTTTATCCCATCACACGGTTTGTTGAGTTCTTGGCACTGCTTTGCAGATACTGTAGTCTTTGTCATACCTTTATCCTTTTTAAAAAATGGCCAAAGTCATATTTTGCCTGTACTCATACTACAGATTGTCATACATAAATTAAGCCATTGAATGAAAGGTTTATTAACTGGAATATTTAGGAAAGCCCCAAAGAAACCAAGATTCTGATTCTCCTCTCCCTTGCATAGTCATTTACACCTTTGCAAAGTGAGTGAAAAGCAGGTATAGCATGCTACCATTCTCATTTTCTTTGATACCCACTTTGCACTGGTATAAATGACCACCTGAGACTCAAGGCAGAGAAGAATCAGGCCCAAATATTGAATGATACAGCAATCCCCAAGTGCCCTTTGTTCCTCCCCTTATGTTTAAAGCAGTTTAATCATTGCAACATGATTTTAGATCACTAAGATGGGTGCAGTAGACTATATTTACAATGAAATCAGTTAAAAGAGATTTTGATAATGCTTTCCGGCACACATGCTAGATCATTTGAAAAATAACTAAATAGTCATTGAGTGCACAGGTGACGCCTGTGTATCAAAATACAGTCTACATGTCTTGAGGGCTTGTCTTCACTGCAGAGTTAACTTGAATTATAACTCTAGACCCATCCACCCACAAACCCTTAACTCAAATGCTTTTAACTCAAGTTGGCTGGCCTGTCAAGGGATTCAGGCTACAGCTCAAGTTAGCACAACACCTCAGCTGCTAACACAACATTTCTGCAGCTCAAGTTATATTTTGCAGAGTGGCCTCTCTCACTCGAGTGAGGCTAACTTGAAAGGAGAAAACTCTGCCATGAAGACAGTGGTCTTGTCTACAATACAGAGCCTTTATCAGTCATAGCCATGCTAACAAAGAACCCTACTGGAGATGGAGCACATGAGGAAAAAAGAAGACATCCTGCCAGCGTAGCTACACCACCTTCCTGAACTCCCTGAAGGCCACTTCTGTTGGTACAGCGTCTACCTTTGTTGTTTTGCCAGCATAGTTATGTCGGCTATGGGGGTGTGTATGTGTGTGTGATTCCTCCCTCCCCCACATTACTAGCCAACATAGCTATATCAACAAAACTTTATAGCGTTGTTGTCCAAGCCATAGCCTCATGAAAGGAAAAATATGCATTGAGTTTCTTTGTGAATACAAAATCAGTCACTAAATAATCTGGGCACGGAGTTCAAGTACCAGGTATATGGTATTTTTTTTAAAAAACAGGTAGAAAACAGTCAATACAGTAGGTCACCAGTTTTCTTTTGTTTCTCTCCCACTTTGGTTGCATGTTTTTTGCATTCTTTTATAGGATATGCAGAATATCAAAGCCATTTTAAATTCATACTTGCAATAAACATTAACAATTATAATCTGGGGAACCCATATTTTGTTGTATAAACAGTGTCTTACCACTTAAATACTGTTAGTTTTTTTAATGTGATAACAGATACCATAGTGATGAATGTGGTATGAAGAAAACTTAGATTGATCTTGAGGAGTCAAGTAATAGACTTTTTATTTTTAAATTCTTGCACAGAAGAAAAATAGGGAAACAAAGAAAGAGAACATTGGCAAACTATGGAGACAACCCCTCTGATACCAATTCATTATCTGGTATAGTCTATTACATGTGGGAATGTAAAGAGGAATTACACTCAACTTTTTTAAAATACACATCATTTCCAAGTCCTCAGAATCAATTGGACAATATCTGGATTTACATATTTTTGAAAGACTAAGGTGCAGTGGCTATTTCAGCAAATGTACTAAAAACTTTATTTGAAATAAAGTCATGATGCATTCTCATACTAATATGGCACAAATACCTCACAGTGCTCACAGATCTGACTCAGCCCAGATCATATTTTTCAAGATCCTCTTTACATGTCAGTCATACCAGCCTCAGGCATGCTGTCTAAAGTTCCAACCGCCCCACACGTGTGCACACACACACACCCCTTCATAACTGGTTTTCAATGGACCATATCTTCCTTTATGTTCCTTCTGTGCATCACAACAAAGTTCTAAAAATATTTGCAAAGCAAATAACTTTAAATAAAGTGTATTAAAATCAAGCTTGTTTTTGTATAAACAATTGACCTGACTGCTAAAATTACAACACTGGTGGAAACAGTACTATCTCCATACAATCTGTCAGTGAGGGTAACTCTCATGAAATATATACTGCAGGAAGACACCATGCCAAAAAAGATTTTCAGGTAACATTTTCTGGCACAGATTTACATTCACTCGTCACAATATTTTAGTTTACCCAATTCTGGGAATCTGAAAGCAGACCAGCTAATATAATTTAAGATTTTTTTAGGTCTAATCCTGCTCCCATTGAAGTCAATGATAAAGATCCTAAAGAATTCAGTGGTAACAAGATTGGGTCCTTCATGAAGATTTCCCCTCTCACCAAGCCCTAAGGGTGGTGGGCCCACAAAATCTTCCATTTCCAAATGGGGCTCATCCTGTTTTCTAAAAACCTTTCCACCCCTTTAAGCTCTTCTGTGATGATACAAAAATTAAAACCAAACCATTTAAGCTGAAATTTCCCCCACTCTTGGCATTAGTTGGCTTGCCTCCACCCTTTGCTGAAATCTTGTCAGGAGGACCAGGTCTTAGTAACACGTATATACATATTAATATTATATGTACATAGACACACAAAGAAGCTGCTCTTTCAGTTAGAAAAGAAATTAATTTTGTCACAGAATGGATCCTATAAAAAGGTGTCTAATAAAGTAGTAATACCCATAAAATAGCTATTACTAAAGCAAAGCTTTCGTCAATAAGCCTCCAGAACTTTAAATGAAGAGAATGGCTTCACAAAGTGGTAGTCTAGATTTCCACAGTGCGGGCACTGCTGGACGTTGCTGTATTCAGAGAAATACTGCATCCCAATCCGTACATCTATTACTGGCTTTCCACAGTGCTTACAGTTCAGTCGAGCCTGTCAAAAAGTAGACAGAAACACCTTGAAACATTCCAATTTGCTTCCAACCTTGCCACAGAAAAAAAGAATGCGTCTCACACAGTCCATTCCTCTTTCCTAAGGACAGGCTTGATTAAGAAAGTATAACTTATGAGATTTGATGGCAAGGGCCACTATTTAACTGGAATGACAACTTCCTTAACTGGAATGCCTTCAGGTGATTTGGCAAAAGTACTGAACAGCCTCAACTCCCACTGAAACCCCTTGCAATATTGAGCCCTAAGTGATAATCAAATAGGTAACTCATCTGTCGTGCTGATGGTAACCTGTCTCCTTAGATAAGACTTCAAATGTTGCTTCAATTCCTCCTTCCAAGCAAGTTTTTTCATCAGGCTGGCATTATCACATGACTTTCCAGATTTTTGGTGGACTAATTTAAGGGTAAAATTAACAAGAGTGCCTAAGTTCCATTTTCAAAAGTGACTGAGGTGCCTAACTTATTTAGGCACTTTTGAAAATTTTACTCTGTGTGCATTTCAGTTGGGAGCGGAGGTGCCGGGGAGAACTGTTGAGGCATGATGTATTTACCTTAACTCTTTAGTGAACCAGCATGTTTAGACTAAGTAAAGCACAGCAATGACAGAAGCAAGAAAAATTTCAGATAACATAGCATTATGACTCATTTGGTCAGAGACCATCTAGCAGGGCATCCCAACTGAGCAGTCTGTGCTAGTAAGTTCTATAAGGTGCCACAGGACTCTTTTCCACTTCATACAGCAGCTATAGTTAGGATATATGAGCTGAAGTATAGGAATAAGCAAGTTCTGCTAATTGAGTTTTTGTAAATTAACATTCTAGAAAATCTACAAAAAGTACATTATATGTTTGCACATATTGACCTGTATGGATGTTATTAATGAACTTCTGAATTCACACTTGAGACATTAGGACAAATAGTGAGTTTTTTTCCCATATGAAAATGAAATAGTGCTACCTTTGACTCCTAATACTGAGAGGAATTCAGTTCTGACTGGTCATCCATGCAGAATCCAAATGAATAAGTACATATGTTGGTTTTGTGTTTATTAATCCCTAAAATAAAACTCAAATCCTTCACACCATTATTGCTGTTATGTGCCATAACTTGTTAACTTAAACACTAAAGTAAAAAAGAAAAGGAATTTTTAAGTCTGTGCCATACAATTCTTAATCTACATGGTTAAAATCTATTATTGTGATGCTGTTTAGACTTCTTATATTTAAACATAATCTGACATATGCTGCATATCAGCATTTTAAACTTTATGGATTAATAGATTTACAGGTTATGGTATTTCAGCATCATGACATGGTATTACATCATGCATAATACTTTAAAAATATATTTAAACATTGACAACCTATGTAAGAGCTACATATTACTATAGTACAGCAATATAGTATACAAAGTATTTTACAAATTCCAATTAGACAGGACTTTGCCTTGAGGAGTCAACATTATTTGGATAGATGAGAACCAAAGTGAAATGCAAGGGTGAGAACAGACAGAGCCATCAGCAACAGAAGGCTGGGTAAAATATGTGAATCTTAAGGAGAGATTTGGGTGTGCAAAAATGCAGGCCACTTGACAAAAATAAAACAGCAGGCTGTTGCAAGCACAGCAGGCAATGTGCAAAAGACAGACTCAAGAGTGGGTGGAAAGAAGATAAGCAGAGAATAGAGTCCATGATGGAGGGTAGGAGGAAACAAGGGCTAATAAGTATGGAGGCAGGGTCTGAGCTGCAAGAGCCTTAGCGTGACAGCCTAATGGGTGCTTCTGAACATAAACCACATCTCAAAAGAACAGTAATGATCTTCAATAAAAGATCTTCCATGATTTTTGCTTGCAAAAAACAATTCACTTATGTACAACTGAGATTGAGAGGGCATTAAAAGCCAGTGTCTGATCTGCATGGAAGCTAAAGATTCCAAAGCATTCTTTGATAGAACATGCATTTGCAATATCTCCTTGGCCAAAGTTTCACTTTGTCCATCACTGTTGTGCTCTGAGATTTTTTGGAATAAGGTACCAAATGCTACTTTTCAGTTAAAATAATTTAAGGCAATTCAGATTTAGTTTACATAATATATCTTAACTCTGTCCCTTTGCACACATGCTTTACAATAGGGTCTTCTGTTACATGGTCGTACAATACACCTGTAGGTGCAGTAGCAAAAATGAACATATCTAATAATTTAGGTGACTGAAAACTAATAATTTCATATTCTATTATATTGAATTGCTTACCAACTACTTTCACACTGCCCACTGATCATATAAATAAGACTCTTGTAATATTCACACACACAAGGAACAAGAATTAAGATGAAAGTTGAAACTCTAAATTGCCTGATTTTTGCAAGCTCAAAATGTCAACCTTAATACTGCATTTAAAAAAAAAACCTTCCTATTTAAAGAGAGGCTCACAATTTAAGAAGTGCACAAAACTGTGAGGTAACACTCTTCATTGTAGATACTACTATGGAAGTCAATTAACTACAGAGCTTGATGTTTATGCATCTTCTACAGCAGCAGCAACTCCCTTCTTCTTATCACATACTATTGTTTATTTTTCATTTTAAACTATACACATTAGTAATGAGAGCTAATGAACATTTGCATTCTGACAAAGTTTCTTTGATTGCAAGGTCTCCAGGGCAAGGACAGTCTCTCCTCTACAGAGATAAGCAACTTGTTGGTACTTAGTAGTAATAATACATAGAGCTTGCAAAACTTGATAAAGACATTGCCCAGGAAAGAAAGGTAACTGAGTAAACAATTAATGAAGGTGTATCCCCATTTGTGAGGAATGTATCTAAATACAATAGAGTTACTTATTGAACTGACTCAACCTGTTGTTTTTTTTCCTGTTTGCAGTACAGACTAATCCAATCATTCCCCTAGCACTTGTTTAGTGTGACTCCTATAATGAATCAATGGAGTATCATTTATACCGCTATTGGATCATCATTTGAGCGTTACACCAGAAATTAACATTTTATGAACTACTGCCCACTGCTGCAAAGTGTTGAGCATCTCCAATCCATCTAATCACTTAACCAGCCGTTAATCTGCAACAACTGCACCTTCACACAGCAAGAGTCTGAGCATTCTGTCCCCTACATGAGATTTTCTCCACCTAAGGGTACAAACTGGACTACAGTCAAATCAAAACCAAGGTTCTTTAAAATTTGAAGATTTGCAGGATAACATCACTACACTCATACTGAAGATTAAAGAGAAAAGGGAATTCTTTAAGCACAAAAAATCTCTAAGCGTGTCCATTACTTTTGCCTTTTCGCAGGCCTACCCCTTGTTTGAACTATGGCTGTTTTATCAACTGACCAGGCCTTGGACTAAAAGTGCTATTTTAACAGTAACTGCAGTTTTGCTACTACATTGCTATAATCCCAAAATGAATCGTGATGCAAAAGCTTGATGTGCATGAGATACTTTGTTGTGATTATCCAATCTAAGCATCAAGGTTTAATGCATTTTAAATTATTTTAAAATGTATCTTAGTTCTATCCCCTGCACCAATGGTTTACATTAATTTGTGTCTAATTTTTCTTAACCTCCTGTTTCTGCAGACGCCTGCGCACTATAATTTCATAGATTTTAAGACAAGAAGGGAACCATTAGATCATCTAGTCTGGCCTCCGGTATGTGATGCTGGTTTGTGCTCTTAAACTAGGGGATTTCAGGGGGGGCTGGAGGAAGGAGAGAAAATAGACACAAACACTTTTGCTTTGTTTACCTTCAGTTGGAGCTTCACCTTATTATGCATAATACTAACCTGACAACAGGGAGAGGCTGCCAGAATATCATAGGTATACATGGTTCCCAGTTGATGCCAGCTTCCATCCCATCGGGACTTGCACTTAATGCAGATAATTTTGTGAACTCCTTCTAAGCAGTCGACACAAACAGCATAGAGGTGCATAAGCCTTCCTGTGGACAGGAAACACATTTCTTAAGGAAAGGAGACATTATCCAAAAGGTTTAAGCAGACATTTCCTGTAATGTGCCATTTTGTCATTATACAAATAATAATTTTTAAGAAGGAGAATGACAAAGTACATAACGCTACTTTATAGACTGGCCCAAAATATTTTCTAAAGGGGCAAAAAGGTCCCACTTTAAAATAAAATAAATAAATAAACCCAAAAGAGGGATGTCAGATCCTCAATTTTCTCTTTGCTGGAGGACTTTGGCAAAATACTATGAGGACCTGGAAAGTGGTGTCACACCAACCTGATTCTCCAACTCCAATAATTCATCCACTCTCAATTTCCACCACAAGGAGGAAGAGTTGCAGCTCACTTGCCAGTCTGGTTTGACAATTATATTCAAGTCTGCCAAATATCTTGCCAAGATCTTCCAGCAAAGAGAAGGAAATAAGGACGTGTCATTCCTAATGTGAGAAACCATAAAAAAGCAGAAAAGAGCAAAACTGCAACTCTGGGTTTTGCTTGGCAGTACACTTTAAGGCATGTGTATTTAAGACATAAGCAAATGATGCTTTAATGCACATTACTTTTTCAGATCTCAATACAAACTTCGAAATACCAGGCAGCATATTAGACACTTTCAATTCCAGTGTGAAGTGTTAAAATAACTCCTTCTCCCCCTCATATTTAATCACAGACTCCCTATGCAGGGGTGAATTGTCAAGAGTTGGATAAATTACACTGACTTCCATAGCTGTCAGACAGTTCAGACTTCAAGACTGAATATTTACTTTATAAAAACCATGAACAGACTTATCAGTAGAGACTTACCCCAAGATACAAAATTCAGATGAGAAAATAAAAAGCTTCACACAAGTTTTGGGGGATCCAGTATTTTGATCTGGGCTCATCCCATGTTATTGAACTGAGGATTGGCTATTTAACTATGTACATACATACTATAATAAAAACCATCCACCCTATATTTTACATTACTTGTATGCAAGAAAGTTATGATCTACTATTCAACTACAAATACCATCTACAAAAGAGTTGTGCACGGTGATTTTGTGCTTTTCAGGAAACAGGCTGTGCTCTTATGAATCAACATCTTGAATGTACAATTTCTTAATCAAAGTAATGAATTCATGACTCTAGCAGCTGCTTTGGAAAAAAATCTCAAAATATACAAAATGTCTGGAAGCCAACAAGTACAATTAGTCTATATCAGAGATTTTAAACAAGTTTTTTTTTTTTTAATGCAAATGTTTTAGAGAAATTGAGTGGAAAGTAAAGCCATTTAACAAAACAGATAAAGCTTCCAATTATTTTTGCACTCCTGTAACTATAAACTGGTTTAAAAAAAAAAAAGCGTTCCCAATCTGAGAAAAATGTATGAGTTTTTAAGCTAAATTCTACAATCTTCAAAAAGTAGTTTATTATGCGAGTTTTACTACTAAGACCCTGCCTTACAATGCTCCTAGAGTACAAATACCTCAAGATCGGTTGTTCAAGTGAATATCTGGAAATGTAATCTTTGACATAATTCCATGCATTAGAAATCTTTTACTGTGTACCAAGATTAATAACTTTTTTTATAGAAGACAACTTTAAATGCATTTTACAGTAGTCATAGCTTCTGCACACACAGAAATATTTCATCTTCTCCACCATTAATTTTGAGAGCCCTAGTTAAATGGCTTGATGGCTAAAATCACTCACTGAAATAAAGAAATGATTTGTTTAACTCAGGAGGGAAACACTGTCCTGGAACAGAGACTCACAGTTTAACTTTGTGTGTTAAAATGTGCGCTAAGATGATTAAATGTAATCTTCTTGTAACAAATCACTCTATTTAAGACAAAGGAAAGTAAAATTTCAACAATTTAGGCAATCTCCTTGGATCTAGTATTTCCACAGGTGTACATAAAATCTACTAAAAGTTAGAAAGCAATTAATGAAATACACGTAAGTAATAGTCATGTTAAGAAGAGTTTCAGATTATTTTTGGCAAGTGTTAAATTGACACGTGACATTTTAATTGTTGCAAAAGTATTGATTAAATTTGGCAAAACCATGAGCACATTATGCACATCTCCTCCAAAAAAGGAACAAACATTCTTGCCCCATATCACTACATTCTGTTTATGCTACATATTTATCTTAGATCATTTGCTCTTTGTCACTTTTTTTTCCTTGAAGTACATTAGGTATTATGGAAACAATACTGTTAGCATGGACAGAGCTTAGTGACTTAGTGCAATGTAATATTTATACCATTGTTTGTTAAATCAAGTAAGCTTATATAATGTGTACTATGACCATGCATGGGATATGATAACTTTCATGAACAGGAAAAAATTCATCTTAAAAATACCTGCTTTACGGGGTTGTCTTACTCCCACTTTCTTGCTTTTTCCATGAAACTCTCAAAGTAATCCCTGCTGTGTCAACCAAAGTAGTAGTAATTCTGTTGACACTTGTCTTGCACAGATTGTTGCACCCCTTCTTTGGTCAATCTCATAGATCGCCTGTGTGTGTGTGTGTCCAGTTAGAGGTAGCAAGGCATAGCCTTCTTAGTCCGGTACATTATGTTAGCCCATCACCCTCTTTCTCACCACAAATAACTTACTGGTTGTTGGGCTTTTTTTATTATTATTATTATTAATTTAAACCAAACTGGCCCCCAGCAAGCTATCCAGCCACAAAGTGGCATGACCAGCTCCTCTGGTAGATGTCTAATTTCAGCCCCTAATCTAGGCTGCAACAGGAAATTTAATTTTGAGACAATGCATGACTTACTGTAAGACTCTCAACAAATAAGGCAGTGCATGTGCAGTCCAACACAGCCTGGCTGGAAAACCATTACATGCTGTACCTGGAACCCTGAAGGAAAGTCCCTTAGTTGTAGAACTAATAGCAAGGTACATCAATGTTTACACCTCCCAACCTATACAACACATCTCTTTTTAATTAGCATACTTATACCAAGCTTGATTACTTCAGATTTGACCCAATGATAAGCTAGAAATGAATTTAGGTTTCATAAAAGCACTTGCTGCATGGGGATGCAAATCTAAAATGAAATGCACAAAAAGCAGTTCAATCATTTTAAAGAGACCCAACAAGACTGACAAGACAACCTGTACCTTGAAGGTGACAGGGAACATCATATTCAATTTCATCGTGTCTCGATGGACTAAGAAACAGGGTTCCATCCACTAGCGGAAACTGTTCAAATACGGGCAGTGCCCTGTGGCACAGCGCACAGTTTACAACATTCCTGTGGCTGGCACTAAGTGCTGCAAGAATAAATTTCCGTAGGTCCTCCCCTTGACCCATTTGGGCATCATCTTCCATCCGCACATGGAAAGTATTCAATTTATGCCTGGGTATATGAGTAAGTAGCTCAGATAGGTCAAGCCTTCTTAAAAATTGCACAGGGGCATCAAAATGTCCTGATCTATGCATTTGCAATCCAGATGCCCCATAATCAAAATGGGCATTCCTGAACATGCCACCACCAGTCATGTTCTTTTTATGAGGTTCTAAGTGAATAGCATTCTTTAAAAATTCTCCTAAATATCGTGACGAACGAGGGCCACTAAAATGTGCAGGGGCAAGAATAGAGTAGCCTGTAGGAGGGGACTGGCCAGGAGAGCCACAGGGAGAACGAACTGCATAGCTCCCACTAACTATGCCTTTCTCTTGAGAGTTCTGCCTGTCCATCGAATGCCTTCGCTGGATATCATGATTTAAACCTTTTTGTGGCTTGTTGACAGGCCTGCACTTTTTAGCATCTTCCACAGATTCTGCCATGGACCTGCCTGTGCTCTTCTCTGACACCGACTTTTTCTTCTTCTCATCCTGCATTCGCTTCACTTGGTACCAGTCTGTGTCTTTCTTTAAGTGACCCTGCCCACATCGGCAGGAGCAAAAGCGAAAAGCAAGATCATATCCCTTTTTTGTCCACATGTTTTGACGACATTGCTTTTCGTTCCAACTCCTTGCTCTGCCAATGCAGTTAAACTGAACAAGAATGCTGCTTTCCCATTCATAAAAACATTGAAGGTGCATCCAGGTGCTGTAGGGACAATGTTCATTGTTGCATACAACCTTCTGGTAGTCATCTTTTTCTAGATCAACAGGCCTTCCAAAGCTACAGATCAGTGGAGTAGCACAAGGTGCTTCTGTGGGACATAAAACAGAGACATTAGTACCTTACGCTGAATGCAATTTATTTGCAATATTTATTTTAGGTTTGCCTGATCAGGTGTATAAAGGAATCCACCACAATTACTGATTTATTTACTGTCCTGGTTTTACAAACTGAAAGACTTTTGCAACATAACCAGGATTAGAAAAAACTGCCACATTAGGCTCTCATCCTACAGAGACTTAAACACTTTTGTCACTTTACGTTCATGAATGGTCCCACTCAATGGCACTATTCAGGCATGTAAAGTGACACATATTAAGCCTTCACAAGACTGGGGCCTTAGTGTGCCTTTTGGTATTAATAGTTTTTCTTTTGTTGTTTCTAGTGTTGCACTGTGGGTCAAGTCCTAAAGCCTATACACAGCGAGTATATGAGGGGTCTATGCAGGGTGCTCACTAGAAGCCAAAAGGCAAAAGTCCTTCTCTCTGAGTCTATCCATGGCCATGACTACACCCTCAAGCCTACAGTAGTCTCCGTGGCCAATGCAGCTGACTCCTTGACTGGGTTTGTCTGCCACAGCTGCATATTCACCTTACCCCTCTTCAGCCATGCTAGGACACAGGGAGTTCTGGCAGAGACACCACTCCTTCATGAACCTCCTGCAGGCAGCCTGCTTCCTTCCCCTTTCCCCCCACCCCACTAAATCAGTTCAGCCACACTGAAGGCTTTTGGAAACCACTGAGTCAAGGTATGAGTTATCCTTATGTGAATCTCAAACCAGCTCAACTAGCAGCCTTTGCTATGTTCTGGAACAAGAACAGTTCATTTGAATTTCCCTGTCGTATGAAAGTATCTGCTTCTGTACATGTGTTTTCCATTTTTATGGTTTATGTATTTTTTCCCTAATCTAAGTGTCTGTTGTAGTATATGGAGAAATCATTTGGCTGGCTTTTGAACTTCTAACTGAAGATGAGAAGGGCTAGAAGCAGTACTGCTGCTGCTTTCTGGATTGCTGAATATGAAAACCTTTTGTTGTTGTTGTTGTTGTTGCAACTTCTAATACACAAAAGATTTTTGCAGTAAAGTTTACCTTGGTCAAACCTTAGGAGATTTGACTCTGATAAGCATCAACATTTCCAGGTACTGAACCCAATATTGAGGATATTCTTTCACCTCCCACAACTTTTCTTACCTTTCACTTCCTCCCTTCACCTCACTTCCCAGAAATCATTCAGAATTTTAGCAGATCAGGCAGGTACTACTGCATTCAGATAATACCTCCCTTCTTCAGGGATTCTGTGGTCAAAGTTGGCCCAGAGTGCAGTGTGTAAAAGAGTGCACCAGCCAGGAGCAGAAGGCGCAGCGGGAGAGCTGCTAGAACTCCTGGACTCTGCAGCAGAATTATATCGGAAGTAGACAGGTCTAGTGGGGAGGGAATTTTATCCCAAGCTGGGGGAAAGCCAACAGCTGCGGAGGAGCCCACAGTTCAGGCGGAGACATCCCTCAGAGATCATAGAATCACAGAAGATTACGGTTGGAAGAGACCTCAGAAAGTCATCTAGTCAAACCCCCTGCTCAAAGCAGGACCAACCCCAACTGATGAATATATTAAAGGGAGACTCTGTATCCTACTAAAGAGGATAGGAAAGAATTTGGTAAAGTACAGGTAGGAGCTAGTGAGGAACAGTCAAATGTAGAAGAGTCCCATTTAAGTATAACACATGAAGGCAAGCCACTGAATATTGACCAAATGTACAAATGCTTATATACAAATACTAGGCGTCTAAATACTAAGATGGGTGAACTAGAATGCCTGGCATTAAATGAGGCTATTGGTATAATAGGCCTTGCGGAAACTTGATGGAATAAGGAACATCAAGGGGACACCATAATACAAGGGAACCAAATATATAGGAATACACAGTAAGGTCACACTGGTGGAGGAGTGGCACTATATGTGAAAGAAAGCATAGAGTCAAATAAAACAAAAATCTTAAACGAATCAAACTAGCACAGACTCTCTATGGATAGAAATTCCATGCTTGAACAATAAAAATATAGCACTAGGAATATTCTACCGACCACATGGCCGGGATGGTGGCTGACTATGAAATGCTCAGGGAAATTAGAGAGGCTACAAAGACAGAAAACCCAATGATAATGGGGGGATTTCAACTATCCTTATATTGATTGGGTAATGTGTCACCTCAGGAAGGGATGCAGAGATAAAATTTCTAGAGACCTTACATGACTGCTTTGTGGAACAGCTTGAACCCACAAGGGGAGAGGCAAATCTTGATTTAGTCCTAACTGGAGCACAGGATCTGGTCCAAGAAGAGAATATAGCTGAACCACTCGGTAATAGTGACTGTAACATAATGAAATTTAACATCCTCGTAGGGGGAGAAATGCCAAAGAAACCCACCACAGCAGCATTTACTTTCAAAAACAGGAACAATACAAAAATGAGGAAGCTAGTTAAATGAAAATTAAAAAGAGTTAGCCATAAGAGTGAAATGCCTGCAGGATGCATGGAAACTATTTAAAACACCATAATAGAGGTTCAAACAAAATGTATATCCCAAATTTAAAAAAACAGCAAGAGGACCAAAAAAACAAGACACTATGACTGAACAGCAAAGTTAAAGAGGTGGCTAGTGGGAAAAGGGCATCCTTTAAAAACTGGAAGCAAAATCTTAATGTGGGATGTATAGAAAGAAGCATAAACTCTGGCAAATCAAAAGTATAAGAAGGCAGGCCAAGAATTTCAAAAGCAACTAGGTAAAGACACAAAAACTAATAGCAAAAACCTCTTTAAGTCCATCAGAAACAGGACTGCCAAACAGTTAGTTGGGTCACTGGATGATCACGGTGCTAAAGGAGCAATCTGGGAACACGAGGCCATCACAGAGAAGTTAAATGAAATATCTGCATCAGTCTTCATGGCAGAGGCTGTGGGGGAGAGCCATTCTTTTTAGGTGACAGATCTGAGTAACCATCCCAGATTGAGGTGTCAATAGAGGTGGTATTGGAACAAATAGATACATTGTACAGTAATAAGTCAACAGGACCAGATGGTATTCACCCAAGAGTTCTGAAGGAACTCTAATATGAAATTGCAGAACTACTAACTCTGGTATCTAACTCTCCGCTTAAATCAGCCTCTGTACCAGATGATTTGGAGGGTAGCGAATGCAACACTGATTTTTTTTTTTTTTAGGCTCCTGAGGCAAATCCTGGCAAGTACAGCCTGGTGAACCTAACTTCATTACCGAGCAAACTGGCTGAAATCAGAGTAAAGAACAGAATTATCAGACACACAGATGAACATGATACGTTGGGGAGAGTCAACATGGCTTTTGTAAAGGAAAATCATGCCTCCCCGATTAGAATTCTTTGAGGGGGATCAACAAGCATGTGGACATGAGTGATCCAGTTGATATAGTGTACCGAGACTTTCAGAAAGCCTTTGATAAGGTCCCTCACCAAAGGCTCTTTAGCAAAGTAAGCAGGGACAACAGGGAAGGTCCTCTCATGGATCAGTAACTGGTTAAAAGATAGGAAACAAGGGTAGGAATAAATGGACAGTTTTCACAATGGACAGCAGTAAATAGCAGGGTTCCTTAAGGATCTCTACTGGGACCTGTGCTGTTCAACATATTCAGAAGCGATTTGAAAAAGCTCAGCTTCAGCTGCTTCTGGCCATCACTAAAAACATTATGCTAATACTATTTAAAATATGTTACTTTTATTTAACAGCCATCTCCACTTTAAGAAACTTTCCATAATCTTATACAGTAGCCATGCATAGACATATGCAGTTCATTTTAAGACAATCAAAACTTCAACATTCTAGTAGTATTGTTGCCCTTTCCTATTATGTTCTGTTAAAAAGATAATAAAAGCCATAGAACCTTTAGCAAATTCATGAAAGGTAAAGAACTGAAAGCTCTAGAGGCCTTTTTATCCAAAGCATACATAAAGACAGCATGGAAAAATCTACCAATGCTGCTCCACCAATGTGCCTCAACTCTCCTCTGAAGAGACCTACCTGTTAGTGTAAGAGGTCAATCAAGTCTCCATAATCATGTATTCGATCATTTTTCTCTCTGTTCCTAATGCCAACAATGGTGTTCATTATAGTGGCGGTTTCCGAGATGTAGATACCTTTTCTCTCAAAGCGTGAAGAGTATGCACTCCATTTCAGAATACACACTCTGTAAACAGATCAGAGGCAGAGAGAAAAAGAACAAGCTGGATGGAGAGTGTCAGGAGACAGCTATGGTATCCCTCTGGCACCATTTAGAAAGCTCATCCAACTAATACCAGGCCTGTTTTCCTACTAGTTATCTAAGCTCACAGAAACTATGGTGGGGTTTTGTTAGGTTTCATATTTCTAGTCTTCAATTATTATTATTTGTTGGTTACCACGGCTATTAAAACTTCTCTTCAAGCTGCTGACATGTATTACTGAGTATACTAACTTTGGCTAAGATAACAAAAAACTCTGAGTTTCCCAACCCAGCTACTCATCTGATACTGCCCCCTTCAATTCAACAGACATCATGCCACATCAAGTAATGCTTGTGCAGACTTTTTTCTTTGGCTCTAGCAAGTAGTAATACTTTTATGATATTTAAGATTTGAAAAAGTGTATCTTTGGATTATAGCATATTAGGCAATAATATGCAATTTATCTCAAAGGAGCTAATTAAACTTAAACCATCAAAGGCACATCATAATAAACCCGATGCTGAAAAAGATTTTTTTAAAAGTACTACTGTAAAAATCTCTCATTTACACATCCTCCAGCATTCATTACTTTGTATTTAGTCTTTTATACCATTTCTGATGGAAAGAAACCAAAAGTCCAATACCCCCCTAAAAAGTTTAAATATTCTCTAATATTTGTTTCAGAGTAGCAGCCGTGTTAGACTGTATCCGCAAAAAGAAGAACAGGAGGACTTGTGGCACCTTAGAGACTAACAAATTTATTAGAGCATAAGCTTTCGTGGACTACAGCCCACTTCT